TTTTTTTTTTTTTTTGCTAGCAAATAAAATCCTTCTTTACGCATTATTTGACGACAAAACTTGTCGTTTTCGTAATTAAAATATTTGTTACTGGCGGTTGCCGAGCCTTTAATTCATCATTGATTCTCTGAACTACACTCTATTCAATAAGCTAAAACTGTTTGGAGGCGGTAACAATTTTGGTTTAAATCTTTCAAATTTGTGATCTTCAGTAGTGCGTACGAAAAACTTGTTTTAATTCAAAAGTAGAACATGCAGAACACAAATGTGAATACCTACGGACCAAGCTAAAAAAACTTTAGAATAGTGAGACTGGGCGACAGAATTGTACGGTATGTAAAATAATGCAAAATTCTGAAGCCAGATTCAAAGGTGGTTTAAGAGTGACCACTGTAATGACTATTACGGGCGGTTACTCAGCATTTCTGCTGCTTATCAGGTGTCATTCGACTAAGCACTGCAGATCTTTCATGCAAAAATTTTCAGTGAAGCTGTAATAGGAAAAATTAATAAAAGACTACAATTTTAGCTAAAGTACGATATCGTCATGTGCGATGGTAAACTGCGAGGTGATCAAACAAACGTCAGAAAAACACTCACGCACTGTTTTTGAAGTAACCTGTTCCTTTACCAGTATGATGCCTATCTATCAGTATCAGAAAATAAAGTGAGAATGTGGGATTAATAAACTAAGGAAACTACCAGAAATGGAGACGGAGAGTTGTACAATAATAAAATATTGAACAAGAACCAGTCAGAAAGCTAATAGGTCAAAAAATCAAAGATAGTAATTACTTTAAAAGATTTTCAAAGTTTCAAGATCATCTTTCAACAGCTCCCGCCTTCTTCATAAAACACTCAAATATGTTAAGTGATATCACAGTCGTTAAATATAAGGAACAGTTCTTAGGTAAAATATTAGTACCTCTGAGCTGCTACAAAGCTGAAAAAGAATAACATTTGAGTAACAGAAGCATTTTCAATTTAAAGAATAGGTTTGAAGAGAGAAACAGTTAGCAAAACTGTAACCTCTGGTAGGGTTGTCGATTTGTACGTTGCTACACTGTCATTGCTTCTCTGTTTTGATAGCTGCGATTACTAAATATGTCACTAAAAATAA